AGAATCACTCCATAGTATCTTGCGGGGGTTTACTTACGAGTTTCAAACTTTGTCACGTTGGGCTCCAATTTGGACCTGTTCTTTGACACTGGAATCGTAGCTGTTGTCTATTGTATCTGAGCCTTACCCATAACTCACAATTTTATAATTAGTGCTCTTTATTATTGCATTTCAGAGAATATGAACGCATTTGCGAAGTTATACAGAAGAATATCCAAGAATTTGGTGGCATGGAGCCAGTTGGAAAGGCTCATGATTATGGTTTCTTCGACTTCTATAGGCTACCACATCCAGTAAGTAGGCCATTATTCAGCTTTAACCTGTTGGATTTCAGTCAGTTGCTTTCCCCTTTTCTTGTTCCCTATTTAATAAATGATTTGTTTCAAGTTGGGAGGGCAGAATGTTGGCGATCCATTGGGAAAGCATTTCTTACGCTACATTGATTCGAAAATCTTGCGACCAACTAGGCATGTGGACGAGTTCTTCATACTGCTTGAAGCTTTGAAGATAACGAAATTCTGGACTAATTATGCGTAAGTTACTCAGTACGGTTGTTGAACTAACAAAAAATATCTGGGTGGTGGTCAAGAGATCCATGTTGCCGCGATGCGCTCAACTGGCTAGTTGTTGGTGGCTGATGGACTCCTCTGATTCCACTTGCAACGCCGTTTTGGCCGCTTCACCGTATCATACATGGATCTCCGAACAACACCCACACTCTGCTTTCTGCTGAGCGAATCAAAGTCGAGTACAACGCCGCTTCGATAGGCACCTCAATCGTTTTTATGACGCCGTTGAAGAAGCATCCCTTCTGGAGAAGTTTGTAAATTCCTTTGGCTGTACTCGTGCTCGTGGAGCAGTGGGCATTACCAACTAACGGACTTGTGGAGGGAATATTAAAGTGCCCATACTACCGCTTCTATAGTCCTCATCATTGCGGACTGTCGGGGCGGCTGAGCCGCGCTGCACTGTGACGCGACAGCGGCTGCGGCTCGGTGACGGCGAATCAGCTGATTTCATGGAATTCGGCTGCGAATTCCCACTTTTTCAGCTCTTCAAGCTTCGAAAGTGGAAGGTGAGTTATTTTGAAAATTTTAAATTGTACTGGCTCTAATTTCCTTTATTTTTATGTCTATTATTATGCTCTTTTCCTTGTATTTTGCCTTATTTCAGGCATTTATTCAAATGGCTTGCATTCTTTCAGATTCATTCAGAGTCAGTACAATTTAAAATTGTTCAAATAACTCACCTTCCACTTTCGAAGCTTGAAGAGCTGAAAAAGTGGGAATTCGCAGCCGAATTCCATGGAAATCAGCTGATTCGCCGTCACCGAGCCGCAGCCGCTGTCACATTGCAGCGCGGCTGTGCCGCCCCGACAGTCCGTAATGATGAGGACTGTATGTCTCACTGTAGCAATCAATCCCGCCAGACGCCGCGCGCGACGGAATGCCGCGGCATTCGTCCTCCGCATCCGTCCGAATAGCACGTTTCTGTGCTGTTCTTATTTTCGAACGAATACTTTCTAGACTACATGGATGAACAGTGAAGTACCTGGCTCTGTCCAGTCCCCTTCGGCATACGCCACGCATGAACCTCCATCTAGTTTTAAGGTTTCATTTGCATTCGGTTTGGTCTATAAGAGAGCCGCCAGTCCTGCTGATATGAAAGTGGGTCTTTTGTGCTACCATCATATAGATCTGGTAGCGATAAGGGCGATTAGGAAAATCTACGAGGAGTGGACGGTTTAGCGGGAGCGAAATGAGTATCCGGTCGGTGGATCAGGAGTGGAATACAGTCTCATGCTCTGTGGACGCTGGGGCGTTTCAGGAGCTGGGTTTGGCGCAGCACCAGCCTGTTTTCCACGAAGCTGGTAGGCGACACGCTGCCTAGCGTCGCACAGCAGAAGACTGAACCTGCGCCTGCTTGCTACTACCCCATCTCTGCTGTCTTACTAGAACAATTTTCTGGAGCAAGTTTTCAGGAAACGCGTTGAATCTGAAATTCCTGTATGGTACGAGACAGACGAAGGGCCAAGACTTGGTGCCATAGCCCCAGCGATCATTCCAGCAGGTACAGTATCCAGGCGAAGTGTGCACAAGCTATGGGTCACGCTCACAAATGAGTCTGTAAGTTCCATTGTAAACTTTAGTATATTACACCGACTTATATCTCCAGTTTATTTGAGGGAACGGCTCGAATAGGCACAGGAATAAAGAGCCTAATTCAAGCCCCGGATGGGCAGGTTTTGGTTGGAGCCGACGTCGATTCACAAGAGCAGTGGCTTGCAGGCCTTTTCGGAGATGCAAGTCATGCGAAGGCATTGCGTGAGTGGACAAGGATTTGTTTGGAGGTTTCGCTATCTATACCATAAGAGCCTGTTTCAGCTGAAAATGCCCGTCAACCTGGACTGACCCCTTCAGTAATATGATGTTAGCTGGATCGAAGAGTGATGGGACTGACTTACATTCTGTGGTAGCCAATCAACTGAAAATCGACAGAAATCAGGCTAAGGTTGGTGGTTCCCGATTCTTTTTTTCTCGATAGGGGTAGGTAGGGGGGGGGAAGATAGGGTAGGTTCAAGCGAAAATTCGAGGGATTCCAAGGAAGAACCAATCACCTTTCCAGATGAGTACTCACCTCTGTGGATCATGGTCCTCACCGTGTTCACTGTAATAGTTCTGTAGCTGTAGTAATGTGCTTCAGTCCGTCAAAGTGCACGGGAAGGGGGTTGCAGGGTGTGGTACCGTTTCCATACTCCGCCTATGCTTCCGCCTGGTCAACTGCACGCCTAAGCATAACCAAAAGCGCTACTAGTATGCGCCCCTTCACTTTCGGTTGTTCGTGGAAGACTTGGTTAACCCCAGCCGATCCAAAATCCGGTCCCCATTTCAGTAGCATTTTAGAAAATCGAGATTTTTTATAGAAAGTGTAACCTACAAGCGTGCATATCTCAGGCTTTGAATTACTCACGAATGTATGGTGCCGGTGAGATCAATGCCACAAAGACCTTGTCCCAAGCTGGAATGACGATAGATCAGGCTCGTAAAACAGCGAAGGAACTTTTCGCGGTGACGAAGGGAACGGAGAGCAGGTAGTTAATCAGTTTTCTCTCATTAAGATGAACATTCCACGGTAGTCGCGTGGGCGTGGGCGGGTCCAGTTTCGTGCTGTCTTCATTGGCGCGTCCCTACCCCTTATCGTACTAGACAGGAGGACCGCACCAGTGAGAAAGGTACAGTGATGGGCCTGACCCGCCTCCACGATCAACGTGGAACCCACACTTGAGTCATTTTTATGCTTTTCCGGTTGCGTGGAGGCAATATGCTGTCAGAACCAACCTTCTAGTTGTGACAGCCTGTTTTCCAACTACCTTTTTCGTGTGGCAGGGCACTTTTCCGCTTGAAAGATGGAACCGCCGTCCTCTGGAGAAGAGAAATGCTCAAGAAGTCCAACCTTCTATTATTTTCAGCTGGAAAATGCTCCGTAAAGAAGCGCAGCCACTTCTCTTGAAATTCGTGGCAGATCGAAAACTGGACGGATTGGGTAATTACCTTACAGTCGATGGTGATTTCTAGACAACGACATGAGGTGGGTCCTATTGCGCTTCACAGTCCATTTCAAGATCCCATATTACGGTAGAAACGTTCAGGTTATTCACTATTGAATTTGAGAACTGGATAATTTCACTGGTAGCAGAAAAAAAGCCTGATATCCCTCATGCGAATATTGTCTGTTCTCTTTATGACGACTATTCTACAGTAGTTCGTCTTTTCAACGGTGGATAGTAAGTTGTCAACTTTTTTTATGGGTTAGGAGATCCGCTTTGCGGCCGAGATTGCAATCGATATCGCGTGCGCGACATTCACACCAGGACTTGATTAATTTGACATTGAAGTGCTAGAAGTGGTACGATGTGTCGAATCAACGAGTTAGGAAATGCTAGCTAATCTAGGCGGCGCAAAGTGAATTTTTTTATCCTGCACTCCTGCCCTTCTTTTTGTTGGGAGCAGGAACTAGTCTAATATTGATTACCCATGCCCAATTTGTCCCGCACATATATAAAGGAAGTACTTTTAGTGAATCCGGCCACATTCAATTATTTGGAAATGCAAACACATCGTGAAGTGCTGCGAACTCCGGTGTTAGACTGTCGACTTTCCGATTCACTGTCAGCTCTTCCAAAAGATACACCAGACATATGGAGTTTTAAATCGAAGTATAAACGATCTACGATGAATTGGGTAAGATCAATGATAAGAGCCTCCAAAAATCGTTTCATAGTTTCTAATTAGCATATGTACTGCATCGTGCTGAGTTGAACGAGAGGCGGACAAGACATTCGTAATTTGTAGCATTGTCGTACGCGGCAAATAGCGCGGTCTGCGCAGCAAATCCTTGATTTGCACCAGATTATTGTCTAAAGTAACTTATATAAATTCAAGCAAATGCAGGGCTCCATGACGTTCTATCGCATTTCCCGTTCCTTAAACACTCATTTTTGAAGGCCAGGCAGGACAACTCGTCCGTCGGAGGCGGCGTCGCTCGCCACGCCCACAACCGCGGCATATAACGACTGTCTTGTCACATACCCGAATTGAACTTTGGGGTGAGGCCATCTGGGACTGAACTCAAG